GCTGTAAAAAACTTAAGAACATTCTTCATTATTTCTGAGTTATGAGCCTTTAAGTAAGAAATGATGCGATTTCGGCAACCTTACCCTACTACGTCCACGTCGTTGTTTCCGGGTAACGCTAAAAGTAAGAGTAAAAAAAACCTAAAATTAATAATTAATCATTGATTTTGATTTTGACTTTCTTGATCTCATAATGAAAATTTTAAAGTATCATTTCTACTGTAAAATTTACTGCTCCTTCTGAATCCGGTGTCAAAAGTAGGGCTTCCCATTTAAAAAAATGACCTTGACCTTCAAATGACCTTGAAAATTGACCTGAAGATCAAAACTGTTAGCACAGTTAGATATCCCCCGTTGTCCTCTATAATTTTTGTCTAAACCATTTTTTTGTATCTGGCGTATTTTTGGAGATATTTGGATCTGTCACTTAAAATGACTCACCCTGTATATAAATTCTTTTTATTTACCGAGATGTTATAAAAATGATGCTCAGATAGCATAACAATTCGTGCAATTCTTATACTCCTAGATTTCCTAGAAGCATTTTTTAAATGTTTGTTTTCTGAAGACAGACTTAATCGTTATTTTTTAATTAGTGATATATTCTCAATGAATTTCTCTTTAATCTCTCGCAAATAATTAAAAATGTGACATTCCCTATTTTGATACAAACATAAGAAAACAAATATTTTTATAGAGAAGCTGAAATGACGCTCATAACGGACTGCTGGGGCCTGGATGGCATAATAATTCTAACAATTCTCATTATAACCGCCTACCTTTACATGACTCGCAATTTTAAGTATTGGAAAAAACGGGGCGTGTTGGAAATAACGCCAACACCTTTCGTGGGCAATTTTATGGAATGTTTACTTCTAAAGAAAGCCTCGGCATATTTCCTAAAAGAACTGTATGACCGAGCGAAGGGTGAACCTTATATAGGTTTCTACATTCTCGACAAACCTATTTTATTGATCCGCGATCGCGAAATCATTAAGAACATCTTGATAAAAGACTTTAATATCTTCTGTGATCGATACGCCACGGGTGATCCAAAAGACCGTATTGGATACGCCAGTCTCTTCTTTATTAATAATCCTGCTTGGAAGATTGTAAGAACAAAAATAACACCATTCTTTACATCCGGTAAATTGAAAAAAATGTTTGGCTTAATGCTGGAATGTGGAAATCATTTAGATGAGTACCTCGACTCATTAAAATTAGTTGATGGTAAGTTGGAGAATATTTTGAACGATTTATAAAATTTAAAAAATGTTGAAATATAAAGACCAATCACAGATGATAAAGATCATCTGTATCGTATCTGTAAATTTTTTGTAGTACTAAAATATTTTATATATCTTATATTTATATCTATAATATATTTTGTACTTCTACACACAAAAATATTAACCCGTGATAAAAACCGAGATATAATATCTACAATTAGGCAAGTTTAATTATTTGAAAATATTGTCGGCAGGTAAGGAACAAATAATAGATGCGAAGGATATAAGCTCTAAATTAACCATGGATGTGATCAGCAGCACTGCTTTTGGACTCGACGTGAACACGTTCAAAAATCCAAACATTGATTTTCGCAAATATGGCAAGATGATATTTAAGAATAATTATAGGCGTGCTTTGGAGATGCTTTCACTATTCTTCCTTCCAAACATAGTTCGTATAGCTCGTCTAAAATTGTTCGGTGCGGAGAGCACCGCTTTTTTGCGCAAGCTCTTCTGGGAAACAATAACTAAACGTATGGAATCCGGCGAGATTTCAAAAAGACACGATCTTATTGATATTCTGATCGAACTCAAGAAAAACAGCCGTGGTGATGAAATAGAAGGCTTTGGTAAATGGAATTATAATTTAATGATTAAACGAACTTACCTGTAAGTGAAGTTCTATCATAATTGTATGAAGCGCCTCTTCCGAAAGATAAAACGTAATACTCTTCAACCATATGCCGGGGCGCCACAAGCTTCAAAGTCAAAATGTCTACCATCTACAATCCCGGTCCGGGCGTCATTCTATTCAAAGCCCAGCCGCAGCCAAAAGCCAAACTCAATCTCTCGGGGTCCGAAAGCTATCGGACGTGGGTCAAGGGGGGGACCTTATCTTTCGGAAGAGGCGCTTCATACAATTATGATAGAACTTCACTTACTAAGTTCGTTTAATCATTAAATTGTATTTCGCGCCTCTTCCTCAAGATAAAACGTAGATGTTGAAAGATGGCTGCGGCTTTATCTCAATCCTCTAGTATGGCCTGTCCGAACAACCTCAAGTCTTGGATAATAGGCCTATCGTAAAATCTAGCGAACGTGGTTGAACTTTCTGTCCATCCAGCCGATTTCCGAATAACATCCATGCTAACGCCTTTTTTTTTAGCAGCAGATGTAGATGCATGCCTAGTGCTATGAGCTGAGAAAATTTCTGTATTTATGCTACTCTTATGTAACATGTCCTTTAGCCATCTGCTCAAGGTCTGAGACGAAACCTTCTTGAACGGCTTCTTGAATGAAATGAACAAAGGTTTATTCTTACCCCTGAGATCTTTGGTTCTCCTAAGATACCACTGAAGAGTCCTAGCTGGGCAAATATTCGGATCTTCCTTATAAAAAGGTAAAACCAATAATGGTTGCTTTGCCCCCGGTCTAGAAGTCTTAATTCTATCCGGAATTTTAATTTCGATCAAATCCTCTTTAATGACAATATTCCTAATATCTATTAACGACAAGGTTTGGATCCTTTGGCCAGATACTAAAGCTAGTAATGTAACTAACTTTTTACCAAGTTTATCTAAGGATAAGTCTTCATTTGTCAAATCTTTAAAAAATTCTAAAACGATCTTGGGGTCCCAAGTGGAGTCGTACTTCGGCTCTGACGGTCTCAACCTAGACAGACCTCTGAAGAATCTCCTGACCCTCTCATTTTTCCCAATTTTCGGTCCCAGGATAAGGGAGATAGCAGATCGAATGCAATTAAGAGAGCCATATGATGCTCCTTTTTCGAACTCCAAGGACAAAAACCTAATAACATCAGGCACTTCAGCTTCATACACGGATAACTTGTTAGCCACGCAAAAAGACCACCATTTTTTCAGGGAACAATCATATTGTCTAAGCGACGACTCGCTTATAGAAGCCATCGAAATCCTTATGGCTTCTTCTGGAATTCCATTTGTCAGAAATGCTTCCCAGATAACTTCCCTACCACCAGGGTAAGTTTCCTCCACAGAGGGTGCGGCTCCCTGTCCAAAGAAAGTAAAGTATTTCTGTTAGGTTTGAAAACTAACGGATCCGATTCCAGCATTGAGCGAAATAAGGGAAACCACGGCTGCGCCGGCCAAAATGGTACCACTACTATTCCTTTCGCTTCATCTGCTCTGATCTTTTGAAGAACTTTAGCAACTAATATAAAAGGTGGGAACGCATAAAAAAAGAATTTACTCCAATCCAAGGTAAAGGCGTCAACTGCTATCGCGCCAGGATCTCTTATCCAGGAGACATACTTTTCACATTTCGCATTAACTCTAGTTGCAAATAAGTCTATATCTGGATGTCCCCATTTATTAAGAATCTCACGAAAAACTCTCTCTGATAACTGGAACTCTGTTTCGCTTCCTAACCTTCTTGATTCGAAATCTGCTTCCGAATTATCTCTGGACGAAATATATGATGCGAAGATGAATAATTCACGTTCTTCGCACCATTTCCAGATGGACTTAGCAAGGCTATTAAGTTCTGTGAATCTCACACCACCCATGCGGTTTATGTACGAGATGGCATACGAGATGGCGATGGTGGTGTTATCGATCCTTAAAAGAATATTACAGTTTCTGAGTTCGGAAGCGAAACACTTGAGACCAAAAAAGACTGCAAGTAGTTCCAAACAATTAATGTGAAGTAACTTATCTTTATTGTCCCAAAAACCATGTGTTCTATCCTCACCGCACGCTACTCCTCAACCGGAACGAGAGGCGTCGGAAAAAATAGTTAGTTTGTATTCGCGATTCGCAATACTCGAAACTCTATCCAAAATGTTATGCTCCCACCATACAAAATCTTCCTGTAAGTTCTGATTCAAAAGCATAACTGCTTCATAGTTACCCCTGGCTTTCTTTAAGGCTAAATATTTTTCTCTCTCAAAAAACTTAACGTGTGCCCAACTATATTGAATAGCCGCGCAGCAAGATACTAACGAGCCTATCAGACATGCGAAGTCTTTAATCTTACACTTCTTTAGTTTTTTGAAGACTTTTACTTGACCTAGAATTTTCTTTCTCTTTTCCATTGGTAACTCTAACGTCATTGACCGTGAATTCAGAACAAATCCAAGAAATGTACAAATTTGTGATGGAATTTTGTAACTCTTTTCCTCGTTAATTATGAATCCTAAGCTTTCTACTAATTCTACCGAAGCCTTTATATTATCCAAGCACTCCATCTGCGAATTACCAAAAAGTAACAGATCATCAAGATAAATGACTGAAAGATATCCTAAATTACGTAAATGACATACTATTGGCTTCATAAGTTTTGTAAAAACGTAAGGAGCCGTATTTAGGCCAAAGGGTAAGCAATTAAATTCATAAAGAACACCCTTAACTGAAAATCTTAAGAATTTCCTGTAATCCCGCTCAACAGGGACCAAGTAATAAGCATCTCTAAGATCCAGCTTACCCATGAAAACATTAGGGCTAATCAGACTGCACGCTGTCCTGATGTCTTCCAGTTTAAAATGCTCCGTCTCGATAAATTCATTTAACGCCTTAAGGTTAAGAATTAACCTGCTCGATCCGTCTGATTTGGGGATTAAGAAAATCCCGGATAAGAACTGGTCCTTACACGGATGGCAGCGACTAATAGCCCCCTTCGAAATCAATTTCGCAATGTGTTCTCGAATCTCTGTTTCTTCCTCTAGAGACCATGAAGGATCTTTAGGAACCGTCTCCTGCAAAACTGACCTCGAAAAAGGAATAGTATAACCCTCAATCCAACTCAAGATTCTGGAATCGGCGGTTATATTTCTCCATTTCTCTAAGAAAAAACTCAGCCTACCCGCTGGTTTATTTACCTCTGCTACTACTAAGTCTTCTTCTGTTGGCTGTTCTGGGCCAACGGACGTGATTGGGCATTGTCGCGATATGACGTGTTCTGGTTGGCTACGTTCCTTCTGCCCAACTCTGGTTGTAGAACCTGTTCCGGTATCCGCCTGACGTCGTCGTCTTGAAAGATTGACGACGAGGCGGGCCCTTGAAGTTTTTTGCCTTTCCTGAGGTTGTCAGTTTCGCTTTTAAATCCTTACTGGATCTTTCAATGGTCTTTGCTGCTTTAAGTCGGTCTCCTAGTTTCTGGCCAAAAAGCCATTCTCCTGCTGTCGCTGATTCTAATGTCTCCTTTTGTGAACTGCTAATAGCGGTAAGAATCAGACTACGAGTTAAAGACTCGTCCCTCCCGGGCAGGTCTGCCATTAATTGTGCAGCATCGCTAAGCTTCTTTAAGGGTATCTGGGTAGGAGATAACTTCTGATCCTCGTTATCGACCTTGTTATTCTGGATAATCTCGGTGATAGAACTACCCATTAAGGCAAGGCAAGCCGTGATTTTCTTTTGCTTATCTATGATACGATTATCCCGCTTTACTGCTGTTTCGTTCAAGGAAGCCTTGAGTTCTTCATTAAGTTTTGGCGGGTCAATCACAACGCAATTCTTTGGAGGCGTGTGATCCTTAATAAGTTTCTCTCTCTCCTTCTTTGGCAACCCTTTCTTTAAAATATCCTCCAAACGAATCGCCACGCTCTTTGGAATAGCCAGGGCTAACACTCTCTCTTCCGCGACTCTACTTCCAATGGCTTCCAAAATTTCCACTTCCAGATCCTCTGTGACAACTTCTTCATTTAAGCCAGTTGTATCTATCTTCTGCGTGTTTGAAGAGGAATCCTTCTCTTCTGTCTTTGACGACGGTAGGTCCTCTGCAGATGCGTGGACATCAGCCTGAACTGATACAGTATGGCTAATCGACTCAGGATCTCTCGGCGATATCAGAGACTTATCTCGGAAGTGACTTCCGATGCCTCCGGAATGAAGCATTCCTTTGGTGAGAGAGAATGACTATAACGATCCTCGGGGCTCTGAGCCAGAAGATCCGATTCTGCGCAATCGCAATTTGCTCGCCCTCTAAAATCCGAGCTTCTAGACCTCGAATCATGGTTTCCTAATAATATAAAAAAAGGAAAAACATACACCCAATCATATACAGGGTGTCTAAAAAAAAAACGGATCGAAACATAATGGGGACGTAGATTGGATCAAGGGGAACAAAATAGTTTTGTACCATTTTGCAGTTGACGCAATATTTAACGAGATATTAACGTTTAAAGATAGGCGAATACAAGCGTCCGACCAGCCTACTCATGTCCTGCTGTCGGCAGGACGGCCTACCGTCCCCACCGATAGCATAACGCGCCGGCCGAGCGGCGGGCCGCGAGGTGCGGGGACGTGTGTGAAGTTGGCACCTCATCTTTTGGCACCGCAAGTTTTGATAAGAGTTCCATTGGCACCCGCAATAGTTCTATAGTTCCTGATAAGTTATATAAATAGTTCCGTTGATTTAGCTAAAAAAAATAACACTTGAAAATTTGAGGTGCTAACTTCCCGTGGCACCGCAAAATTCGAAAAAATCAATCGAAAACAAGTAATCTTATAGTTCTCGATGAGTTCTACAGTTCCTGATAGGTTTTAACAATAGTTCCGGCCTCTAAGTAATTTTAAATAATAATTAAAACCGCGCGCTGGCACCGCGCTGGCACCGCACCACAAGAGTAAAGTACCTCTTAACAGCCAGTTCCAGCCTTCTTTTCGGCATTTTCCGATAGTTCTACAATAGTTCCAACGATTTCTATACACTTCGTTCAGAGTTCTGCCATTTAAATATGTTTAAATAATTTTTTAATCTGAGCGCTGGCACCGCACCACAAGAGTAAAGTACCTCTTAACAGCCAGTTCCAGCCTTCTTTTTGGCATTTTCCGATAGTTCTACAATAGTTCCAACGATTTCTATACACTTCGTTCAGAGTTCTG